CAGTCACAACTAGAGTATTTCAGCTGTCTGGCAATGAACTCAAAAGAAATAATGCCTTCATTTCATCATCCATCTTAAGCTCCATAGTAGTCATTCGATTAAATATATCTTGAAAATCACTCAAGTGCTCTGTAACAGATTGTCCATCCCTGTACTGTAAAGTTGCAATCTTTTTAACAAGCATAACTTTATTCATACCTATTTTTCTCTCATACAATGCTGCCAATTTTTCCCAAACAATGTGAGCATCTGACTCTTACGTTACATGATGGAACACGCTGATATCAACCCATTTTTTGATTATAGCCAGTGTCTTTCTACCTAGCTTTTTCAAGCTTTCATCTTTCATATCCACTGGTTTAGCCGAATCACCCAATATCGGCTCATACAAATCTTTGCAATATAGATGATCCTCCATCATAGGCTTCTAAATTGAATAATTCGATGCTGTTAATTTTATCATGGAACCTGTATCACCCTCCATGATCTCAAACAGAATTTACTTCTATCCTGGGTTGCTTCTATATCGATGTCTCAAAATAACCCTCGCTCTGATACCACTTGTTGCGCCTGAAGCAATAATCACAACAATACAGAAGCAATAGACAACAATCAATAATCAAATACGCAGGAAAAATAAAGCACACCAAGATTTACGTGGAAAACCCTCCAGTGTAGAGGAAAAAAATCACGGGCCACCAGAAAAATCTTCACTATCAAATAATAGTTAACAAAGTTCTTCTCTAGCTAAAACTAGAGCTAATCTATAATTAGCGAAACAATTGGAGAAATCTCACCAAATAAGTGACTCAACAAATATACCCTGGATTTGTTCCTAGAGAGCTTCAAACCCGATCTTCACCGTTCAGAATGTAAAACTCTGAATTATAAACCTCCTGACAAGGTTCCAACTCAATCGGACCACGGATTGACTTCCGTTCAACCAACTCTCCCTTTTCTTTTTTCTCTCTCTGCTTTTCCTGACTTTTCTTCTTTCTCTGCTTGGTTTTCGATATCCACCTAAAACAACCTCACCTCTTTTTTATTAAGTAGCTAGGACTCTGTGTAAAATAAAAGATCAAGGCCCATGGCCTTTACTTGGTCCAAAATCACTTACATGAGACTGGACCCCATTTTCCTAACAGATATGTGTGAAAAAGCTAACGTTTACGTCTATTTAGGACTTTTTATGCCATTAAAAGGTAAAAATGCAAAATTGCTATTATTTTTCTATTTTAACAGTTTGGATAGCTTTAATACATGATAATGAATTTGTCCAAATGATTGAACTTGGTTTCTATGGTTGATAAGTGTGAAAAAGTTGTCGTTTACGTCTTCGAATGATTTAACTTGATTTTCACAGTTAATATGTGTGAAAAAGTTGCTATTTTCCTTTATTTAAGACTTTTTGTGCCGTTAAAAGGTAAAGTACAAATTTGCTGTTATTATTTTGTTTTAATACTTTGGATAGTTTCAATACATAATATTAAACTTATCCAAATGATTATTGGTTTCCATGATTGATAAGTGTGAAAGGGCAAAATACTGTTATTGTTTATGTTTGTTTACGTTTGTTGTCATTTATGTCTTCGAATGATTGAATTTGGTTTCCACAGTTAATATGAGTGAAAAAGTTGCTATTTTCCTTTATTTAAGACTTTTTGTGCCATTAAAAGGTAAAATACAAATTTGCTGTTATTATTTTGTTTTAATAGTTTGGATAACTTCAATACATAATATTAAACTCATCCAAATGATTATTGGTTTCCATGATTGATAAGTGTGAAAGGGCAAAATATTGTCATTGTTTACGTTTGTTTAAGACTTTTATGCTATTAAAAGGCAAAAATATAATTTTACAATTATATTTCTATTTTAACAATTTAAATAGATTAAATACATGATATTAAACTTATTCGAACGTTTGAACTTGATTGACAAGCTTGATATGTATAAATAAGATACTGTTGATATATATATATATATATATATTTAACGATAACATATATTTTTATGTAAGAGATTGAGATGATTGAAAAATTAGACGTATGAAACTTTTTCGATTAACTCACACAAAAAAAGATGGATCTTACCTGAATGTTAAAACACAAGAAATTGTGGTAATTTGTTATATTTATTTTATACAGAAAGTAAATATATACTATTTTAAATATATTATGAATTAATTGTTAAACTTTATAGTTTTATATGATTAATTTACAAGAGTTAGAGAAAGAGAAAAGGACCACTAAGATTGAAGTAGCATCTGATGGTTCTATCAACATGCAAGAATTGAAAAATTAGATTTTAATAGAAGTTGCTAGAAAAGAAAGACATGGATGGGTCCGAGGCCTTGGATTGGGTCCAACACCATCTAGCTATTATAGATGTAGCTTTCAATAATTTACATTCTTAGCAATTCAGTCTTCGCGAGACATCTCCATATTGAGAGAGGGGTTGTAAATTATGCAACAATGTTTTGAGCAAATGGAAGTAAAAAGAGATAAGCGTGCTAAAATTAAAGAAGAATGTGATAGAATGAACTAAGAGCATGCAAAATTTCAATTGTTGCATGATCGATTTAACACTTTTATGAATTTTATGCAACAATAATTTTTAGGAACTAATCTAGGTGGTCCACCAACTCAAGTATTATATTTAGTAACTATTTACATTTTTTAATATAAAAAATAGTTTATTATTAAGTGCTAAAACTTGTATTACTTTATTTAGTAGGTTCTTAAGCACGCTGTAACCAAGGTGAAAAAAATCCTTAATCGAATGGTAGTATTTCAAATCTATGCAGTTATAATTTCATAAATTTTAAATTTTGGTTAATGTACTAAAATAATTTGAATGTTATTGCATTATTATTAAACTTTATGTTACATGCATATTTGAACAAATTATGCATTTATAATATTTAGTTTATGAATTTAAGTTCGTTTTTATTTCTTTTAATATTTTTTATTTAATAATAATATCAATATTAAAAGAAAATTTTAAAAAATATAAATATCTTAATTCAGTGGCGTTTGTGCTTAAAACGCTGCTAAATATTAAATTTTAGTAGCATTTTTAAGCATAAATGTCGTTAAATAGAGTGGCATTTTTTAATACAAATGCTACTAATTTGGCGGCATTTATGCTGAAAAATCTGTTAAATTAGTGACATTTTTCTGTTTTCCCCAACGCAGGTATAACCGACATTTTTAGTGGCATTTTTGTCAAACACTGTGAATCTTTTAATGGCATTTATAAATGTCGGTAAATGTTAAGAAAAAAAAAAGGCCACTAAAGACCTAATCCCCTATAGTGGATCATGTCCCTTAATTTATATTGTTTTAATCAACAATTGTGTTATTTTACTAAGAATACATTTTTTTTAAAAAAATTATAGTTATCTTTTAACAAGTGGTTAATCATTTCGTGAAAGGTCATAACTCGTTTGAACAAAAATGTTTCAATTTGAAAGATATAACTTTTGAGCAAGGGCAGTCGACTTCTTCATGCAAGTGGTTTACTTCTTTATAAATTTAAAGAATGCTACATACATCAGTCAACTTCTCCATAAGGTAGTCGACTTCCCTCAAGTTTTAGAATGCTCCAGCATAAGGCCAGTCGATTGCTTTTAGTAGAGAAGTCGATTATCTTAGTATTATTCTTGAAACAAAAGACTTTCCAAACCTGTTAATTTGCCTTAGGTTAGGCAAACAATTGTTTTATTTTCCAAACATGGCAGTCCATTGCTATAGATAGGACAATTGATTGCTCCAGTGTAATTTTTGAACAAAACTAGAAGAACCAATTTGTTCATTCATAAAGTCTATAATAGTTAACTTCCTATGCAAATCAATCGACTATTCATATTAAAAGTCTTCTCCATTTGATTCTTTTCATGTTATGAATCAAATCCTTGATCATCAAACATTCTTAAGCTATTTTTTAATTTCTGTTTGATTAATATTCTTAGTTAATTATCTTTCACTTATTTTATAATGAGAAAGGATTAACTTATACGAGTATAAAACTTCTTAATTTTATCTATTTTTTTCCATTAATTTCAATAAATCTAAAGAATGAAATTAAACTATCTTTTTCACTTATTCTTTCATCTTTTAAATCTATAGAAATTAAAGGTTAAAAAATATATAAAACTAAAAAGTTTTATACATATATAAATTGATCTCTCATCTTTTATAAATTATTCTAATAAATAATGATATTGGTTTGCTATATTTTTATTTATTTTTTATTTAATCCACAACTTAACCTCTTATCAATAAAAATAAGCCCAGTTACTTGCGCATCCATGTCTAAAGGCCGTTGCATACAAGAAAAAAAGAAAAATAAAAAAGAACAATTCTAAAACACAATATTCCTTAAAAAATAAACATAAAGTAAGTCTATGAAATAATACTCCATACAATTAACCATGTCTATGAAATAATACGCCGTACAATCAACCATTGATAGTTAACCTTTAAGTAGATTTTGGCAGAGGAGAAATAAAAACAAAATAAAGAAAAAATGGTTATAAAATATAATATTAAGATATTTTATCAAGTAAATCTAATAATTCAAAATATGATATTATAATATCACATAAAAATAATAAAAAATTATGAAAATAATGTAACCTAAAATTTTAACAAAAATAAATATATGTGTTTAATAAAAATAAAAATATTTTATATTTTTTTATCAATATAAATTATAATATATAAATTTTATGTAAAATATAATAAAACAAATAATTTATTAATATTTTATAAAAAAACAAATAAACAAATTATCAATTCTACTGGCGATTCCAATCAAATTCCCTATCAGCTTTGCCTTTGTCTTTTGAGGTGGGGATTGGGCAATGACCAATGACCATATTTTAAGACTTTTGTCGCTGCCTCGGTCGGTTTAAAGTTTATTGAGACACAGTACTACATTGTTATTCTTACTACGAAAAAATGAAAATAAAATTGTTCTAAGAAAGAAAAAAATGACATTGAGATTGTAGGCAGGCACTTTCCCATTCATTCCCTCTTCATTCTTCAAACAAACAGCTTCCTCGTTTTGCCTCAAATGGAACTTCCACAGTTACACTCACAAACAAGTAAAACCAAAAATCTCTCATAAATAGGCTCCGCGTTAATCTTATTGACTGCTTTTTGCTGTTTGGTAGCATGGACCAGTTTTCTTGGAGCTCCAACTCTTATAGCTCTAGTTTTTTGGTGAATTCAGGGTGTCAAGGGAAAACAAGAAATGGGTCCTTTTCTTCTTCTTCCTCTTCCTCATTAGTTTTGGATAGTGAGAGAGGAGAGCTTGTGGAGGCTACAATGAACCTGCCAAGAAAGGGGGTGTCAGCCGACAGAAATGTGGCTGCTCTGAAGAACCATAGTGAGGCTGAGAGGAGGCGCCGTGCGAGGATTAATGCTCATTTCGATACACTCCGTGACCTCGTACCGGGTGCTAACAAGGTAAAATATGATCGTTGTTTGCATAAGATTTTGGTGAATAGAAAAAAAAAAGTATGGTAGAGATGGTAATTGGCTGACTGTAGTTTTTTTGTTTGATTGGCTGATTTAACGTCATTTTAGCAGTATCTAATTCAAAATTTTTACACTTGATCAGGATTTGATGGTTTAGAAAAAATATAAAGAAATATTGATTGCTAAATGCAATTGTTAAGTGATGACTAGTGTTGATAATTCAGTTAATAAGATAGACTGTGAAAGGCTTTTTTTTTTTTTTTGGATAAATAGACTGCGAAAGATTTATATATGCAGCCCTGTCAGTCCAATACTAGTAGAATACTATATCTTAAATTGATTATTCTTGTTAGTTGAATCATGTGATAGCTTTGTTGTAAATTTTGGGGCCAGTTGATGTGGATAGTTCCTAATGATTTGAGGGTTAGTTATAAATTCTTTATCTGTGAGTTAGTTTAATTCTTTAATTGGGTTTGCTGAATTACATGTCTTGAGCTCACAGATGGACAAAGCATCATTACTTGCTGAGGTGATTGGACACTTGAGAGAACTAAAGAAGAATGCGGAAGAAGCTTGTGAAGGTATTCTAATACCAATGGACACTGACGAAGTGAGAGTGGAAAAGGAGGATGAAATGGATGGAAATCCTTGCTTGATTAGGGCAACTCTGTGTTGTGATTATAAACCTGGACTTTTGTCTGATTTGAGACAAGCACTTGATGCCCGCCATCTGATGATAGCGAAAGCAGAGATGGCAACTTGGGAAGGAAGGATGAAGAATGTTTTTCTGGTGGCTAGCTGCAAAGAGGGGGACTCTAAAGATGCTGCAGTAAGGATTTCTACAAGCACTGTAGACCAAACACTTAGGTCTGTACTTGACAAATTTTCTGCTTCAGAGGAATTCTCCTTAAGAGCTACACTTTCAAACAAGAGGCGAAGGGTTTCTTTGTTCAATTCTTCATTGTCTTCTTCATCTGCATAACTTTGGTGAGCATATAATTACTTAGAAGTGGTTCAATTCTTTAGAATGCAACTTTTTATGTTCATAGTCATAGTAGTACTGGATATATATATATATATATATATAATAATTGCTTATGTTTCATCTGCTGTATAAACTGAGGAATTTATATACCCAGGTCTCTCATTGCTGGATTATAGGTGACTGGATAAGATGTACCTGTTGTAATATAAATCATAGATATTGTAAAATGAGCAACTTATCTCATGATTTAACTTTGTGGTTGGGGAGTTATTTTATCAATATTCTTCTTTCATTTGGATAATGGTGAATCAGAGACGGATTATGTCTTTTGTTTGCTTCAAGATACATTATGGTTATTTGGTAAATATCATCATAATCCTTGTGACTTAAATCTTATAACAATAATGTATAATAAGATACTCTGGGTAAATGCTTATTACCCAGCTTCCTCTCAAATTAGATAACATCTGCTTCTGTGAACCTTGAAATTCAGGAAGCTCTATTAAGCAGTGTTTTCAGAGTGTGTGACCAGGTGCACTGCAAATCAAAAGAAGTGCCATGCACCCTCTAGGCAAGGGGCCATACTTTTTTTTTTTTTTTTCAAGTCAAAAGGTATGTGAAAGGCATGCATGACTTGAGTGTCCCTTTGATTTTTAGTTCTTTCAAAATGGAAAAAAGTGAGGAATATAGTTAATGCAGAACTTCTTGTTGGAAAATAGAAGTTTGTTGATCTAGTGAAGGAGGATGACTTGTACTTAAATTACAATAATGCTTGATCTTTCACATATATTAGACAGTATAAACAATCAATCTATTTATCGTTAGTTAACCAAATTATATAATTTTAAGCTCATGTATGTTTCTATATGTGTGTGTGTGTGTGTGTGTGTGTGTGTGTGTGTGTGAGAGAGAGAGAGAGAGAGAGAGAGAGAGAGAGCTGGCTTGAGTTGGGCTAGTTTCTTTTTTGTGTTTGTGTATTCTACCTTGGGCAATATAATGGATGACTGCCTAGAGATTACTAGATATCTTGTTAGATAGCTACTAATTACGTCTCCAAAAATGAACAAAAACAATATGCACAGTAAATATAGAAGCAGAGAACAATGTCAGCTTGTTTATACATTTTCTTGGTGCATATATTGGGATGTTTACCTTCAGCCTTCTATTTAGGATAAATGATTATTAATGTTTATCAGGAGTATTCACTAAAGGAGATCTGAGATGCAGGGGGAAAGGGAGGTGCTTAGCTAGTAAGGTTAATTAAAGAAGTGTTGGAGCCTGGAAATTGTGTTTTAAAAGACCACATGGAAAAAGTCATACTTTTGAGAATCAGGTTGAAGGGTGCAGAAAAATCAATAATATCCTTTTGTAGCTGACAAGGCACAGAATTTTGGCAGGATAAAATAAGTACTGATTTCCAAAGTGGTTAGATGAGTGGACATTGTTGCTATGCTTGAATTTGAATACCAAGCATTCCGTAATTGTCAAACTTGAAATTAATGAAAAAGTATGCAGGATTGGACTAAGGTGTTTGGGTAAATTTTACTTCGTAAAGAATAAAATGCTATCATCTTTAATAGTCAGTTTCAAATCAGAAGAAAAATCTTCTTCAGTATTGAAGCTACAGCTACTTTTTTTAAGAATGTGCTACTATGCAGCTAGTGCTGTTAGCATATTTATTTTCTTTATAAACAGGCATAAATGGGATAGGGTTGGATTTATTTTATCAGAAGGCTAAAGAAACCTGTACAAGCTGAAAAGCAGTGCCACCAAATGCCTTAGCTCTTACTTTTTCCATGCTTACAACTGCAACTTAAGTGGAACCCAAAATCTATAAGAGAACAAACAATATGGGCATCACAATGGCTAGTGTTTTGTGCTCGTGAATTGTATTCTTGCTAGGACCTGTAGATTAATTTGAGGTCCTGTCCCTGAGTTAAAATGAAATGCAACACAATTACTTTACTTTGGGAGGCTTTTGAAGTAGAACCATGTAGGTTGCTATAAACCTTTACGTTGCTTTGTCAGGCTGGTTAAACCCATTCAATAAAGCCGGTAATTGAATGCTTTGAAATGTTGTGAATGAATGCCCTTTGTTTAAGGTGCATCTTTTTTTTACCCTATTGTTAACAAAGAAAGTTCTGCAAGGACTGCTTAGACCATACTAGCTTAATTTGCTTGGTTGTATGGCTACATGTAAATGATATTTTGTTCTTGTATATGTTGAGAATGCTTATTATAGTTGGGTACCAGCAGTAGTTAATGTTTACTTTGCTCTGCTCCTAAGCTGTCATGTTTAGCAATCTAGAATGTGGCACTCTTTTGCATCAAATGCTTGTCTAAGCAATGTTGTGACTCCAATTCTAAGGCTATTCACAATGTAATGAAACCCAAATGCCAGGCTAGAAAATTCAGTTCATTGCTAATACAGTTTTCTCAATGGATGCTATCATAGCTGTTTATTGAGCTCCTTTGATTTATAATGGTAGGACCACTTTGGGACAGGTACTGTTGAAAATTTGGAAACCACATTGTGAAGGGAGAGATGATAGTGCCTGTTCCTCAACATTGTACACCGATAAAGCCCCTAAATCATCTTTAAAACAGTGAGCGATGAAAACTATATTTGAGTATCACTAACTGCATTTCCTGCCTGGGATAAATACAACTTTGAAAGGGAGTTCAAATTTTGAAATCAGGTGTACTGAGAACAGAGGAAACACTTGCCGGATAATGCTTAGGATTTTTCTCCTATAATGATAGTATTTCTTCTGCATTGTCACCCTCCTCCCATTTTCCAGTAGATGGCAGCATGGTAAAATTCGTTTTCAACAAGGAGAATGTTTTTCTTGCACCCACATCTTTATGATCCTTTCTCCCTCAGGTTTTAACACAATTATGTCATAGTATGATAATCACCCTTCCTGTTCCACGCTGCCATCATCCTCTGTTACTATTAGGAAATAGAATTGTGAAAAAGTGTGCTATCTCAAAGACATGATATTACTTCTTCCTTTTTTCTTCTTTTGGATATGTGAAATTCATGTTCATATGAGAACTTGGAAGTGCTTGGATTGTGGGTCCTATGTAATTCTGCATTTCAGTTTGCTGGATATTGCAGCACGTGCATTCGAAGCAAGCTGTTGATTCTTGTTTATAACTTGTTCTTCCTACTTACTCTAGTGCAATATTCATTGAGTCGTGATAATATTTCAAATACTAATTTTTTCTTTTATGGAGTGATTCTAAAAATAGTTTTTGTAATGGAGGGTTACTTAAAAACTTAGCAAGAGTTTCAATAACAGCGATAATATCTTTGAATTTTCAGTTGATGATTTAGAGAGCCAGGTATCAAATACAGTGTTGAGTACACTAGCACATTGCATGTTATAGGTACAACTCCTTGAAACATGTTTTTTTAATTGATTAATCTGAATTCATCACGCATTACCAAAGTCCAGGTTTAGTTTGAGTTTAAATTCATTTAGTTGCAGTGTGAACAGCTAAAACCAAAGCAAGGTATAAAAATGCATACATAATGTTCTGTTAATTATAATAATAAGATTTCTGTGATGCTAAATAGAAAGGAGAAGGAAACCAGCAGCTATTGAAGTCTATTTCACATTTGGCTGCGGAAAGCCCTTCAACATTTTGTTCTATAGGACCTGTAACTCAAAATCAAAATGCCCAGAAATCTGTACCCAATAATGAAACTCAACATGACAACAATGTTACTCCATTTCTCTAACTCTTTAAGACCTTGCTGCATCAGAAACCCTTCACCGTAGAGATGGCACTCACCTTCCACAATCTTCAAGCATTTCTTCTGCCCCTTCTCTCCTCCATAATCACTTAGCATAAAACACTCGAAGGGATACTTGAACAAACTCAGGTAGTGCATGAAGATCCAAAACCTATGTATGTCCTCTTTTGATATGAAATAGCCAGAATGAGGTCAGCGATCAGAGATGTTCCCATGATGAAATTTGGAACAAATGTACTGAAACATGTGCAAAAGAATTTGACATTAGAACGACCATCCAGACCACCAGTGAAAAATAAAGAAATGCATTGAGTTCCCTCCTTAGTCCTACTAGCCAGTATACAGGAAAGGTGTACAGCAGAGCCACGATTAAGAGGAAAGGAAGGAATACCATAGTGTTTGATATGACATAAGAAGAGACTCTACAAGCTCCCCTTGATTTCTCTCGTCAAAATTCTTCTCTCTTGCAGATAAATTGGTAGTCCTTCTGTTGTGGATGAGAGCAGGAAGGTAAGGCTGAAGGCAAAAAAGCCAATTTGTGTTTGTAGCTTAAATCTCATCGAGTCACTAGCTGCATTCATGAATATAGTGCCCAGCACAATCCCAGCCAGTAATGCTTGTACTTTTCTTGCTACGAAAAGCTGTTTTGTTCTGTAAATATTATTGAAAAATCTTCAACACAATATCAGAACTTCCTGGAACTGAGGGTTGGCGTAACAAATATTGTTTTCTTTTGACCTTAGTGTGGACATCAAGTTTATCTCAAAAAAAATAAAAATAATAATTATAAAATACAAAATACAAAAAAAATACCAAAAATAATACAAAATACAAAAAAAAAATACCAAAAAAAAAAAAACAGAAAAAAGAAAAATCGAGGATGGTAGTGGTGCCATCTTCGGCACTACTGCCACCAGACCTACATCTCACCCTTCTGATCACTATACTTTACCTCCACCCCTCTAATTACTCATTCCGTTGACAAACCGTCAAATAAGATAGAAACGAATAAAAGAGGCATAGTGCTCGTTCTTACATCCCATGTCGAGCCCCATACCTTTCCCTCAAACACACAAAGCCAGAGCTCTATAAATAGAGCTCCTAACCAAATCAAAGAGGAGACACAAAGAAGGAGGGAGAGATTCTGCCAAAAAAAAAAAAAAAAATCAAATAGTCCTCCTCGCAGGGAGGAACCCAACGCCAATAGCTCTTATACAAAGAAAAAAACAAAGTCAATTTCAAAAAAAAAAAAGTCAAATACAAAAGAAAAAAAGATCTTACCAAAACTTCAAATATTTTGCTTTTTTTTTCTATTAATTCTTCTTTTTTTTTTTTATATTTTTTTGCCAGATCTAAGGAAATGGGGATTCTTTTTGGTGAAAGGGACCTCGGATCTGAACTCAGGAGGTCGAGGGAAACATTTTAATGTTTTTTGAGATTTTTTCAACACCGGCAACAGCGGTCGATGATCGACGAACGGTGACGGCGGAGGAA